ATGACAGTCCTATACTGTGGTGTGTGATTAATATCTCAGTTATGGGTGTGTGTGTGTGGGGGGGTTTAATACAGATTAAAATCTTTCTAAAGAAAATGACTATTGAAATCCAACCACACCCGGCCCCGAGTTTCTTGCTGTTAGTCTGGGTTGACTAGAGAAACAAATCCAGAGACACTCATGTGTGTGTGTAAGAAAGAGCTTTATATACAAGCTCCATTGTGTATTGAGAAAACATCCCAGACCAGTCCAGATCAAGTCCGTTAGCCCGATATTAGCCCATCTGTCCAATACCAGTCTATAAATTCCTCTTCGGACTCACGAAGCACATGCAATGACATTGGATGCAGGAAGATCACAGGCCAGTGGGTGAAAAGTCTTGTGGATTTAGTGGCAGTGGAAGCATCTCAGTGCTGGTGTGGGTCCCCACGTGGCTCCTCCGCTCCAGGGCTCTAACGTAGTTCCATGTGTCCTATCAGCAGGAAGACCAGCAAAGAGAGCTTGTTCCGCCTCCAGGGAGGAAGACAGGAGTTCCCAGAACCCTCAGGAGAAGGCCATGCCCACATAGAGGTCCCATTGGCTGTGGCCTGATTGACAGGCTAGACTCCACCCCTTCACAAGTTGACAGGAGATGATGTCATTGGCACAATTGCCCGGCCCCCAGTTGGCTGTGCTGCTTTGGACACGGAACCAGACGGGCACGACCCCACACCGCGGAGCAGAGCCCTGTACTCCCGGGTTTCCCAGACCTTCCTCCTGAGGTGCGGCGTCTGGAGGGGTTCGAACTAGCAATCTTCCAGCTGCTCGTTCAGCCGGGATCTCTGGGCCTGGGCTCTGTTAGGGGTCGTGTGAAAATTCCCATTGGGATGCCAGGTGAAAGAGCCCCCTCTTTGCAACCACTCAAGAGGCTCTTGCCCCCAACGCCCAGCTCACTGCCACCGCGTGGACACAGGCTCACGGTGCCCCCACCGGCCTGGGTGGGGCTGCCTGTTTTGCAAACCTGCATCTCATTCTTGCTGTTGCCGCCAGGGGCCGTCGACGCACAGGGACACAGCCCAAGGAGACCCTCACGGCCAGGTCCTGCACCCGTCAGCACTGCCCCTGTGCCCGAGCCCACTGTTGCCCACCGTGCCCGTCCGTCTCCTTGAGGGTCTTCCTCTTTCTGTGAGAAGAAAGTCCTGTGTTTCTCTTGAGGAGCGGCTGGCGGTTTTGAACTGTGGACCCTTACATGAGCCGTCCCTGTGTAAGAACAATGCCCTGGGGATGGTGTGTGTGTGTGTGTCCACACTTTGAAGCGGAAAGCACAGTGGACAAGACAAAAGCTGACCGCGAGAAGGCCAAGGGGAATGTGTGAACCGTGACATTTAGGGAAAAATCACCTATAACAACGGCAACAATGACAATACTAATGGAGGTGGCCGCCCTGCCCTTTTCTAGAAGAGCCAGTGGGTGCTGACTCCGGCCGCCCCAGGCCCCAGCATGACCACACTTGCCCGTGGCCCCAAGGGCAGCCCCCACCCTCCTCATGCCCCCAGGAACAGGGTCAGGAACTGCCGGACACTCCTCAAACACCTCCTACCTCCACCAACCTCCACGGTCTCAGATGGCCCGAAGAGATGATTAGTTTTCAGTATGATTTGATTCAATTAATTAGTTCCCACATACCAGCCTATCCAGGCGAGCAAAGGCAAACAGATAATCCCTGCCCGGGCCGGCTTCATCTTTTAAAGGCAATTAACTCTTAGTTATTAGCTTTTAATTAGGGAGTAATAATGGCCTCATTAATACGCGTTATTATACTTGTCACTAGGCAGCTGTTGGGAACAGATTCAGTTATCAGATGGTGGCAGCCGTGATGGCTGCCGTCCTTATTCCGGCTGAGACTGGGGTTCGAGGGGCTGCCCTCCACCCCGAGGCACTCTATGGGTTGGGAGCCCGGACCTGGGCGGACGCTCACCTGCTCTCCCTCACAGCGCTGTCCCGGCCCCCTGGTGCCCTCAGACAAGACCAGCAAGCCCAACATCATCCCTGTCGGCTCCATCAGCTCTGCCTGTTGTCTCTGGCCCTCCTCTTCTGAGTTACAGAAAACCGGATGGACACACCACACACACACACACACACACACACACACACACACACACACACATACTAAGGATGACAAGGAGACCCTGATCTGGCCATTCCAGCTGCAAGATCTCTGAGATAATCAACCCCTGTCCACAAAATCTACCCGAGACAGCTGTTATGTGACCCATGACACACGAGATACATGGGTGCAGATGCATAGGAGATACATGTGTGCAGATACACACGAGCTACATGTGTGCATAGAAGCATATAAGTGTGCATAGATGCATGATATGTGTGCAGATACATGCGGCATACATGTGTGCAGATACATATGACATGCATGTGTGCAAAGACACATAGGAGATACATGTGTGCAGATACATATGAGATGCATGTGTGCACAGATGCATATGAGGTACATGTGTGCACAGATGCATGAGATACATGTGTGCAGATACATAGGAGGTACATGTGCGCATATATGCATACGAGCATGTGTACATAGATACAAACGAGGTACGTGTGCGTGTAGATGCATGTTGCTTCTGCAGCGCCACGAGACCCAAGAGAGAAGGGGCCTTCGACTCCCATAAACAGTGACCGTCTCAGAAACCCACCGGGCAGTTCTGCCCGGTCCTCGTGGGCCACGGTGAGTCCGCATCGGCTCGAGGGCAGAGAGCTTGTTTTTGTTCTGTTTCCGAGGAAGCCAACAGGAGGGGCGGTGACTGAAGCGCTGGGCTGCTCCCTTCAAGGTCAGCAGTTCTAAGCCTCCAGCCGCTCCCTGGAGGATGAGGCCGGGGGGTGGGGGGGTGGTGCCATCGAGTCAGTTCCCACCCAGAGCGACCCCACCTTGCTCGAGAGAATAACCCCCTGCCGGCCTGCGCCCAGAGCGGTGGCCTCGTGTCCATCACCTCCTCCAGGGGCTCCCTGCCCAGGGCCCAGTCTCTCCTGACAGGTAAGGAAGGAGACATCGCCCCATCCTCGCCAGTAAGGGAGCACTCTGGCCCTGCTTCTTCCAATTCAGATGTTTGTCCTTCTGCTCGGACACCCCCCTCCCCAGCCCGGCGACAGCTGCCCCTGTTCTGAGCCGGCACGGGAGCCACAGGGCATCTGTCAGATCTGGAGCGAAGCAGACCGTTGGCACAGGAGGCTGCTCACCAGGGTGGTGGCATGGGTCTCCCCCAAGGGTGCCTCCAATGAAAGGCCTGGCGGTCTGAGCCAGACACAGTCAGCCCCCGAAACCCCCACCGAACTCAGCCGGCCTCCGAGCCGGGCCCGCCAGCTCCCGGTCACTCAGAGCGGCTGCTCTCAGGCGCAAAGGGGTGGGCCGATTCTGGTGTCCCAGGGATGGAAGGCAGGAGGAGACACAGGCGCGGCTCCTGACCTGGGTGTAGCCCAGGGGAAGGACCTCAGGCTTGGCCAAGGAGGGGGCAGCGAGACAGAGGGAGGCCCTCGTCAAGGCGGGCTGACCCAGTGACCGCAACAACGGGCTCAGACTTAGCGGCGTTTACGAGGATGGGGCAGGACCAGGCGGTGCTGCTGTCCCCTGTGCTCGGGTCGATGGGAGTCAGAACCGGTTCGTCACCAAACACGGCTGCACAGGAAGTGGGCCCTCCCTCCCCCTCCCCCCAGCTCTGGAGGGGGCGACCTAGCTACATGAATTAAAATGTCTCACCCACCCTGCCCCCCGCCATTTTCTGTCTAGGAAGGTGCTCTGGAGACCGTCCCTGTGCACCTGTCTGCCTGTCCGTCGGCCAGCCGGTCAGCCTGGGGGGACCGGCGGGAGCGGTGAGGCTGGGTTTTCAGCTATCAGCCGGCTCACCACGTCCTGGTGGTGCGGTGACTAAAGCCCCCAGCTGCTCACGGGAAGGTCGGTGGTTCAAACCCATCGGCAGCTCCGTGGGAGAACCCTGTGTCCAGAAAGATCACAGCCCTGCAAACCCGATGGGGCAGTTCTGCTCCTGTCTGGACGGTAACTTCAAGTCGCCGGTGAGCATGAAGGCCCGGCTGCCGACTTCCGAACGTGAGACTCGTGGAAAGGACGGATGACAAGTCTCTCCGAGTCCCTCTGTTGTCACCCATCGTGACGAGGAAGGGGCCCGAGGGGCGGGCAGGGCAGTCGGTCGGTCCAGCCTCTGAGCATGAGTAGAGCAGATGGTGCCGAGGGAACCGGGCCGGAGGTCGGCTGAGGTCCTGGGGAGCCAGGGCGGCATTAGGCAGGGCCAGCTCTGGGCCCTGCCTCACCTGCAGCGTGAGGGCACCAGAGCCGGCTCAGCTGCCCACACGTGCCTCCCCCACGGGGCCTCACCACGGGACCCTGACCCCAGCAAAGGCTGCAGAGCTGGGCCACCCCCAGCCCACCTCTCCTGTCAACCTCAAATGTGCTCCATGGGGGGGCTGCCGGCTAAGCAGTGGGTGTGTGGGGACGGTGGGGGCCCTGGCGGGGACCGTTCCCAAATGCTACACTTCACCCCACATATGGGGGCTGGTGTGTCTACAGCTGGGCAGCTGCAGGAGGCGAGGGGGAGGGCTGTCTGGGCCGGGACCCACACGCCGCCCTGGGAGTCCTGGGGGACAACACACCTGTCCCTGCGGTGGCCTCTGGGGCTGGGGGCGGCCATGTGGAAGGTTTGGCCTGGGCCTGCCAGCACACCGGGTCCTGTCACCGTGAGCTAAGCCAACGCGCTAAGCGAATGTGCCCTGGCCGTGAGTGTTGTGGCTGCCCCTGTGACAGGCACCGGGCTGGAGTTCCTGTGCTGGGCAGCTGCTCCGGGCGTGTGTGTGTGTGTGTGTGTGTGTGTGTGTGTGTGTGTGTGTGTGTGTGGTGTGTGTGCAGCCTCTGTGGCGTGTGTAGCATGTGTGCTGCTCCAGGTGTGTGTGTGTGTGTGTGTGGGTGTGTGCAGCCTCTGTGGCATGTGTAGCGTGTGTGCAGCGTGTGTGTCTGTGTAGCTGACCTGAAAGGAAGGGTGGGGAGGAGAGAAGGCAGAGTGGGCAGACAGCCCAGGGCCAGCTGCCGGGCCTTTAGTACGGCCATAAAAGTTGTGAGTTGTGACAGCGGGCTGGAGCAGAACAAACGGACAGACTGTAGAGGTGGACAGGAGCCAGAAGCTGCCGCCCTTTCTGTCCTGACGGGGCGGCCAGTAAGGGGACAGCCTGCCTATGCCCCCGACCCCACATTCCCCTTCTTCACGTCACGGCAGTGGAAAGAGGCCCTCAGCACACAGCCTGCCTTTCCTGCCACCTCCACTCTGAGAAGGCCACGGGGCTGCCCCTCTGCAGCCGAGCCTCCTTCTCTGTGCTTGCCCTGTCCTCTGGGACCTAAATCCAGGCTGTATGGATCACCTTTCATGCCTTCCATCCCAAGAGCCCTGATTACGCGTTGGGCTGCTAACCACAAGGCCAGCAGTTCAAAACCACCAGGTGCTCCCCGGGAGAAAGCCGAGGCTTTCTACTCTGGTAAAGCGTGCCAGTCTTGGAAACCCGCAGGGGCAGGTCTGCCCTGTCCTGTAGGGTCGCTGGGAGTCGGCAGCGAGTTTGGTTTGGGGCACGTCTTCCACCCTGGCCCCAGCCACACTGTTCCCGAGGCCCGTGGAGGCAGGACAGGAGTAAGAGACAGAGAACGAGTGCAGCTGAATGGCGGCGCTGGCCAGTAAGACTGAGAGGACAGCGGGCCGCCAGGAGAACCACCAATCCGTCTTCTAAGAAGAGTGGCCAGAGTGGCCAGAATGTCCTTTCGAGACCACGGTGGTGAGACTTCATCTCTTGCCCTTTGGATGTGTGGTCAGGGGGAGACCAGTCCCTGGAGAAGGACACCGTGCTCGGTAAAGTGGAGGGGCAGCGAGACAGAGGAAGGCCCTCGCCGAGGTGGACGGACGCAGTGGCCGCATCCATGGGTTGTAAAAGCGATGGTGAGGTCGGCGCGGGGCCGCGCGGTGTCTCCTTCTGTGGGTCCCTGGACGGTGCCGTCTGCCGAGTGCTGGAGTGCAGGTGTCTCTGGTTCACTGGGCTCCTGTGGGCGCCAAGGCAGCTCTGGGCAGCAAGGGACTCTGTTTGCCAGGGGACAACTCTTTTGTCAGAGCCTCAGAGAAGGCATGGGAGCGGCCAGCCCACTGGAGCTTCCCAAGTCACCCCGTTAATCTCATTCCCGGTGGAAAGTCGAGCTGAGAGCCAAGAGTGCTCTTGCTGTAACCTTTGAGGAGGCAGGCTGCCAGGCCCTTCTGCTGGAGTGGAGCCTGAGCACACACCTCGCCTACTTGACCTCACGGGCGCTCTGGGACTAGCGATGTTTAAAAACGTTTCCTTCTCTGTGAATGGGCCGGGCAGCAAATATTGTCAGCCTTGGGACTGCCCCATCAGGGCAACTGAACTCTGCTTTGGTTTTGTCTTTCAACTCGGCCTCTGTAACATGAGAGCAGCCCTGGGCAGTGTGGAAGAGAACGGGCATAGCTGCGTGCCAATAAAACTTTATTGACAGACACAAGCAGAGGGCCAGATGTGGCCCCCACGTTGCTGGCTGCCCTCTCTTGCTCTAGGACTCTGGGCTCAACCCGACATACCCACAGCTCAAATCTCTGACACTCACTTTTGCTTGCATGTCACCTTCTTAGGCAGGGGTAGGGGGTGGTCTCCCGACATCCAGTTCTCCTGTTAAACCTTCCTCCCTCTGCCCTGATCCCAATTCTTCTTCACCATGGAGTCTTGGGTGGAGCAAAGGGTTAAGCGCTCAGGCAGGCCGCTTGAACCCACCCAGAGATGCCTCGGAAGAAAAGGCCTGGCGACCTCCTGTGGCAAAGGCACCACCCTGAAAGCCCTGTGGGGCAGCCCTGCTCTGCACCTGCACAGTGGCCAGATTCCACTCCAAGACAACTGGTTTGATTTCATGGCTGTTCCTCCAGCTTCAACACCCGGTGGCTTTTCTGCACCGGGCATGCCAACGAGCCATGGCGGGCTCCACGGTTTTCTTCGCCACCGCTCAGGGCCTGATGCCGAGACCCTGCAGGATGGGACCCTGCTGCCCACTCCCCAGTGCACAGACTCTCAGGCACACACCATCTGCCAGCCTCCATCCAGCCTGGCCTCCCGGTCCCGGCAGTGTCTGATCTGTTGCCAAATTGCTAGTTTCATGACTTTAGGGGAAGTTCTGGAAATGACAGTGTCTAGGGCTGGCCACCTGCAGCTGCCCGGGAGCCAGGGCCGGGGAGCACCATGCAGCATTGTGGAGGGTGCGTGTCTGGCTGGGCGGGCAAGGCTGGTGGCTGTGGCCGGCCCTGAAGGACCACCCAGTTTCTCTGTACGCACGTGGGGACAGCTTGGTTGAAAGTGGCATTTGGCTGAGCATCCGGGTCCCCAAGGTGACCCAACAGTCTGTGAGGAGAGCTGGGGCCATGGCGCCCTCCCTCCTCCGTGCTGGGGAACCACTCTCCCCCCAACCCACCTCCACCAGGGATACGGCTGCCCAGTCTGCAGAGAAGCCCTGCCAAGGCACTCAGATCTGTCCAGAACCACCCCAGGGCCCCACTCCTACCTTGGTCTGCCTCCCATCCTCACCCCCGCAGCTGTCCTGGCTCCGTTAGCCAGGGTCAGATCTGTGTAGCCCCCTCCCCTGAATGCCTGCCCCTGGCCAGCCCTCCCTGCCCTGGGCCTTGACACAGAGGTCCCCTGGATGAACTCACCCTACCCCGCAGCACCTTCTGCTCGGTGCTCAGGTGATAAAGAAACGTCAGGCTAGCCGTCCTCTCTGCCCCTCCACGCACCTAATCTGTCAGCTACTTCCATTAACGCTGTCTCCAAGACGCACCCAAATCTGACCCTGCTCCCATCTCCCACCTGGACCAATGAGGCCCCGCGCTGGTGTTTGGCTCCGCCCTTGCCCCATCTGGTCTCCCCGCAGCGGCCAGAGGGCGCCCCTGAGCACTGGAGTCAGGGTCCCTCCCTCCTCTGCACACAGCCCACCAGGGCTCCCCCTCCCTCCACTAAGCCCTGGTCCTCTGGCCTGCACGCCCTCCCCTCCTCGTCTCTCCCACTAGCTCACTCAGCTCCAGCCACTAGCTCACCAGGCGCAGACCTACCCCAGGGCCTTGGGACGTGCTGTGCCCTCTGCCTGGGGCACCCTCCCCAGATGGACCGGACCAGTGAGGGCCACCCTGCTTCAAACTGCAGAAACACCTTTTCCAGACAGACCTTGCATTGCTCCGGATACCGCAGCCCGCACTTAGCAGTTGCCCCCTG